ACAGCTTTTGTTTATGAAGTATTTTGGATTTTAACCACTTTCTTCATTTCTTGTTGAAAAAGGTACAGTGGAATTGTACCATTGAATCAAAATCCAATTAACTATATAAAATAAACATTTATGATAATAGTTTAACATATTTAAGTATGACATTTTATAAAAGAATTATAAAAGAAAATGTCCCATAGAGACAGTGAGTGACATGCAATATTATAGCAATGAAGTTTGGAAATGAGGATTAAGATTAGAAAAGAGAATGAACAGAAAATGTGGATTAAAAAACATTCAGAAGAGAAATAGCAAACACAGAAAAACTATAATTTTTTATTTTAGGAAAAAATGAAGGCAGAAAAAATTAGCAAAAAACAGAAAAAATGTATTGATAATTGGAATACTGAAGAAGATGTAAACTATACATTATTGACTTCAAATAGCTGGAGTCTCAAGTGACAATTTTTAATATGTAGATAAAAATTATCTCAGTAAAATTTGAGATGATTTGAGAAATCATTTCCATTCCCTTAGTAAAATTTTATTTTACTGAGGGAATGGAAATGATTTCTTAATTAACAGATTGTCAGTGTTCAAATTATATATGAATTCAAATTGATTTCATCTTTGAGGGCAGTGGCTGACATTCAAAAGGAAATAAATTGTTAATGCAACTTCAGAATTAGAATTTTAAGATTATATGCAACTAACATCATATTATAAATAAACTAGAAATGTTTTTCAGGAACGCTTCCATTCATTAAAAAGATAACTATTTTGTCAGTGCAAATATTTTATAGAAATGCAATTATGATCCAGAGTTTTAGATTATGTTAATTAAATAACTATAAATATAAACGAGGTAAAATGTTCTTGATACTTCTTCAGTGTGAAAAATGAGGTGTTTCGGCTAATAAGTATGCCTGAACACACATATAGACAGACATCACATCTATGTGTAAAATGGCAATTAACTGCTTTATAAGTACGTCATGCATAGAATTGCAGTTCTAGTTGTCTGTTTTAAAACAAGCAACATTCATTATGTGTTATTTGGTTTATCTTTTATTTTAAAATTCAGTAATTTTATCACTCCCTCTAAGGCACTTGGATTATTTATTGGATTGTATCCAGTTGAAACTTTACATAGAAAAATCTTCTGCTCTTGTGAAGTAAAGCATCCAGTTTTGGCTGCTTTAGCTTGCTTATTATGACAGAACAATATACTGCTCAAACATAGTTCCCAGTGCTTGAAAGCAACTCTTTGGAAACAGTTTCGTTATGTAGACAGAATTCTTTGAAATAAATATCTACTCTTACATAGGTATGTTTACTGCCACCACAAAGTTATCACTGGATATAATCCAATGTATGAAAATAAAAGCATTATTTATATCACAGTAGGATAGGGAAAAAGAATAAGAAGCAGGACTTAAGATGGAAAACTGTGTTGAAGAGGAAAAAAAAAATCTGTAAAAGACCAATATCATTAAGCAGAATGTGTCTTATCCTCATAAGTGATAATTTAAAATGTTCTATGGATATCATCTAACATAATTTCCTAAAATGATTCCTCCCTGCCTTCAAGAACTGAAAAAAATGTTCCTCATGATAGGATGCATGGCATTCATTAGTGATATTTGATTCTTTTTTATTAGTTATTGAAACATGCAGGACCATTTTGTAAACTTGCTGATGTCAGAATAGGTTTTGGAAGCATACTTGGTTGATTTCATTTGGCCCCCAAAGCAAACTGAAGTTAGGAATTTTCTTTTTATTTGAATCATCTAAAATTAGATACTTAATTGAAAGGTTTTATAGAAGCAGCTCTACATTCTGATGGGGCTTTTTTTGTGGACAGTAGAATGTGCCCTTGTAAAAGCACTTAAGGCATAGAACAGCATGTTAGTTCTTAAATAGCTTGGATTTTGTGCACATCCTCTACATCTGACTTCAGAAAGAGAGTAGGATTTCCTAATAATGTTTTCAAATGCTTCTATTCCATATGGGTTTTATGATTCATGATCTGGATTATCATCAGTTCTCTGTTTTACATTCCTGGCACATTACTGCCACTGATTGGAAATGCTTTTGTATTCTTTGCTGGAATTAACTCTGTTCCACAGTCCTGAAGCATCTGCTAAGCAGATACTTTTCTAAAAGCATCAGCAGGTTTTCTTCTTGCCCCTTTTATCATGATTTTAACAAACACTTTGTATACAAAGGAGAAAAGTTGGCCTTGCCAGTTTAGATGGATTTCTGAAAAAAAAAATAGTTTTAGATTTACTAAATACTTGTCCACTATAATCTTATGGCTATTCCACAGGGGACAAAAGAAAAGGGAAAAAAATAAATTGTACTTTTGGAATAAGTAATCTTCATGGAGAAAGTTCCATATTCAGTCCTTAATAGTGTTTGGTTCAAAGAGTGTTAAGCAAAAGAGCTAGAAAATATAGTTGTCTGAAGTCCTGGAACGTTATTAAATGGAATTACACTAGTGACCACATAATATGAGTTAAAACAGATTTGTATATCAGTTTTCTGTGTTTATAATTTTTCTTTTATGATAACTTTTCAAAATGTATTTGACTTTCTGCTATGATTTTGTAGAAATAGTATGCTTTGCTGTTACTAAAGATGTTTCCAAAGATATTTTGGATTAATTTGGTACAGTGAGCAATAAAATGAGCACCTGCCTGGACTCAGTCTTAGTAGTATTGACCCATTAAAAGAAATGAGAGAATAGTTCCATATTAGCAAATATTAATTGATTCTGGTAGATCTTTATGCATGACTAAAAATGGTTCAATCCAAACGTAAAATTCTTTTTTGGTGGGAAAAAAATCAAGGTCTTTGTTATCCTTATTATATGCTGCCAAACCTTTACAACTCCTGGCAGCTTACAAAGCAAAATAAAATACAATAAAATATCCACCCATTCAAAAAATACATATCATCAAACCTTCATGAGAAATAAATGGAACCCCCTCAAACAATTAACATTTATTTTATAACTTCCATAACATCAGGGCTAACTCCAAACAAAAATTCCAAATTAACTCTAAGAATGAAAATTAAATAGAAGCAAAAGTTAATTTTTAAAAGTTGTATCACAAAAGTATTAAAAAAACTTCAACCTTTGCTAGCATACAAAAGTGGCCTAATTTAACTACTAGACGGATCCTAGAAGAATAGGTATCATGCTGGAAAAATAATGTTTTTAGCCATCTCCACCCCAAACTCATGATAATATTACTAAAATTCTGAACATTTTCAGCTCTTTGTGTAACTTTTATCAGAGTTTGCCTGATGTACAAATAGTGAACAAGATGCTTTTGAGTCAGATGACCAACAGCCACTTCAAAATACCAAAATTTGAATTGGAGTAATAATTTAAGTTTAAATTGGCCGTAAGTGGCTGACCAACCGCACTCAACATGTAGTCCTCAATGGAACTGCAGCTACATGGAGGGAAGTATGCAGTGGAGTACCCCAAGGCTCTATTTTAGGCCCAGTACTCTTCAACATCTTCATCAATGATTTGGATGAGGGAATAAATGGGGAACTCATCAAATTTGCAGATGACATGAAGCTGGCAGGAATACCCAACACTCCAGAAGACAGGTTTAAGATACAGAAGGATCTTGACAAACTTGAACATTGGGCACTATCTAATAAAATGAAATTCAATAGTAAAAAGAGTAAGGTTCTACATTTAGGCAAGGAAAACGAAATGCACAGGTACAGTATAGGTGGTACCTTGCTCAATAGTAGTAACTGTGAGCGGGATCTTGGAGTCCTAGTGGACAACCATTTAAATATGAGCCAGCAGTGTGCTGCAGCTGCCAAAAAAGCCAACACAGTTCTAGCCTACATAAACAGAGGGATAGAATCAAGATCACATGAAGTGTTAATACTACTTTATAATCCCTTGGTAAGGCCACACTTGGAATACTGCATTCAGTTTTGGTTGCCACGATGTAGAAAAGATGTGGAGACTCCAGAAAGAGTGCAGAGAAGAGCAACAAAGAGGATTAGGGGACTGGAGACTAAAACATATGATTGCAGGAACTGGGTATGTCTAGTTTAATAGAAAGAAGGACTAGGGGAGACATGATAGCAGTGTTCCAATATCTCAGGGGTTGCCACAAAGAAGAGGGAGTCAAACTATTCTCCAAGGCACCTGAGGGTAGAACAAGAAGCAATGGGTGGAAACTAATCAAGGAGAGAAGCAACTTAGAACTGAGGAGAAATTTCCTGTCAGAACAATTAAATTTCCTGACAGTTAGAACAATTAGTGGAACAGCTTGCCTTCAGAAGTTGTGAATGTCCCAACACTGGAAGTCTTCAAGATGATGTTGGATAGCCATTTGTCTGAAACGGTATAGAGTTTCCTGCCTAGGCAGGGGGTTAAACTAGGAGACCTCCAAGGTCCCTTCCAACTCTGCTATTGTATTGTTATATTCAATGAGATTTGTTACTTTTTAATTTTTATTACTATTGAATGAAAAATAAAAAGTAACATATTACTCTTCAGTTTCTAAGACTGCCCCACTCATCAAGCAACTCTGCATAGTTTACAAGATCAAAAACATCAACATAAGAAAAGAACACCTCCCCTCCTCTGCAATTTACAAGGAATAGAATCTTTAACCATTTATTCCAGCATATTACAATGAAAGGTGCATGTGGGCCGGGGGTGGGGGAGAAGTGGGAGGCTTGCCAAGTGTCTTCATCTGAACAATACATTCCTTCCCAAAGCATTTGGGGATCTGTGGCCTGTAGAGAGGCTTTATGTGGCTGTTTTTGAGAAAAGGACACAGCTTGGGGAAATTCCTTGAACATCTGGTGCTGTCCCTTTTGGGGAATGTCACTACTGGTTTTAGGTATGTTTTGCTTGCATTAATATGTTTTATAAAGTACTCTTTCAAATGCTTTGAAGTGCATCAGTGTCTCAGCATTTTTTTAAAAGGTAAATTCCACCCCCCCCCCTTTTTTTTTGTTTGCAGGATGAAGATGAGCTGGATTCCCACACCATGGTGAAGACTACATCTGATACTGCTGGTACAATGAGGGCTACAAGTACTATGAGTGACAGTGCTCAGACCATGATTGAACATAACAGCACCATGCTAGAATCTGATTTGGGGACCATGGTAATAAATAGTGATGATGATGATGAAGAAGATGAAGATGGAACCATGAAAAGTATGTTTCATTTTTCTTTGTAAAAGAAACATTCTAGATGCTTTTTATTTCAGCCCTGTAACCAGTGAATACTCACTTTAATTCAATTAAATGTTAGAATCAAGACCATTATATTTTTGGCTAAAATATAATTGGCTACTAGCTACATTTATGTGGTTTGTGCAAGTTGAAATCAATCTGTATATTACATTTTTAAAATTTTCCCTGGCAACTGCTTTCCAATGGTTTGTTCACTTGAGCTACCAAGACATAAAATATGAACCATAAAAAACACTCCGAAATGTGAATTTCTTCTGTAAGGCAGGTTCAAGATCCCCGAATTTCCATCTTTGGAATTGTAATTCCTTTGCATGCTTTATGCTATGTTATGGAAATCTATGTTTTTAAATATTAGTGTTTTATTCAAGCTGGCAATGCAACAATTTAGTGTAGAATAAACGGAAAAATGACAACATATACTACAAGTTATAGAATGTTTTAAATTAAGGTCATTTTAAATGAATACATACAATGTGGTATATCATTCAAATATGATCCCATTTTGGATAAATTTAACAACACACATAATTTTAAAATCAAAAGTTATAGTTCAATAATGATAAGTATGTTTAAAACATTCTTGAATATTACCTTTTAGTTGTTTGAATTGATTTAATTGTCTGCAGGATTCTATTTTTTGTTAAACATGCTGCTTGTCTTCAGTTTACCTTAATACACAGTATCTTCAATTATTCATTGAAAAATTTCTGAATGAATTTTCTTGCCCTTGGGTTAAAAGAAGATTAGAAGATTTTAAGTTTTGAATTAAGCAATAATTTCTTGCAACACATTTCATTCTTTTGATTAATGTGTGGAGCATCAATCTGCTGGAATTCAGGTGGAAATGGGTGGTCTGATTCTCAAAAGTATAAATTGCAGCAGAATTATCCCATCTGATGGTTATCTTGCCATATGTCTGATGACGCACATATGATAAAATTGTTCCTATATAAACTGTTAGGATAAACTCATTAAGTTTTATATACAATATTAAAATTATGTAAGTTTAAAACTTTTCAAAACATATGTTTTGTGAAGTGCATAATGGTAGATGGCAACTAGATCCACAGCTGTATTAATTTTTTACAGCGTGTCAGGAATTTTTAACTTCATTAGAAAGATAATACATGTAGTACTTGATTTAACAACAAATGGTCACTAAGCCCCTGCACAGTACCCTTACTTGTGCCATTCCCCACCCCAAACCCACATAGCATCTCTTGCATGCCCCGTGTACAGTTTTCAATTTGTGCTGTCCCTATTTTGCATACTTTGACCAGTGTGGCACCTCTGGTGTACCCACACACATCCCACCTATCCTGCGTGCCTTTCCCAACCCATGCAGTACCTCTTGGGCATTCCCATTCACTCTTCTCGACCCATGCTATCCCTCCATGCACTGCCCCTGACCTGCATGGCACTTCAACTGGCCTGACAAGCACTTCTCACATACTTACGATCCCCATGCATTCTTCTTGCCCCCCCAGTGAACTTATGCAACACCTCTTGTGTAGCCCCATGTACTATTCTTGATTTGCACCATCACAGTCTCCCTCCCTCCCAGCATCCCACCCCAGGAACAACCACTTACCTGCCTTCTGACTTTGGACTTCTTACTGGCTTCCCCAACTTTCTCCCTGTAAGCCTCCCACAAGCAAAATATATTAGGAAGTTTGAAATCACTCCTGTTCCCATTGCTTTTTTGCCCACCCATGGTTATTCTTAGTATTACTGTAATTCTACCTTAAGACATTTATTAAAAGAAGTTGGCTTGTTTGATTTATTGTAATTTTTTTACTTTGAAGGCAGGGATTCTTAATAGTTCTCTTGCTGTTATTGTAATAGGATTATAAATGTTTGATCTTTTTCTTCCAAAATGTAAGTTTCCGAAGGTGACTTTTGAATTGGGAATTAATTCTGATAATATATTATTCATAATATATTTTTCTCCAATATTCAGCCAAAGTAGTAATGAGTGAATTCTGAAAATGACTATGACACCTCGAAAGTCAGACATCATCGTTTAATGTGATACTTAAAACAATTATGAACATTTAATTAAATGATTTCATGCACTTCTATTGTATAGTATTGTAATGGGGAAAAAAAGAATTTCAAGAATTGGCATTGTTTCCTTTTCCTTTAGCAAATTTGTGTTTAATCATCAGTGATAGGTTTGAAAAATTGAGAAATAATATGCACCTGCTATTTCTACAAGAACATGATTATTTTTTCCTTATGAGGCAAAATGTATCTGGAATCACAATTTTTCCTTCAGTACCTTGATATATAATTGGATGATTTTAAGAATCTTTACCTTAAATAGCCAGATGTTATTATTTTCCTTTGGACAATTACATAATTATTAATTTTAAAACCATGAATTATATGACTTTTTTAATGAGAAATTAATTTAGCATTATTCATAAGTAAATTCTTTCTTGAGTTCAGATCTGGTGATTTAATGAAGTCAGGGATTTGAACCTCTGAACTTCTGACCTTTTTGATCGACAAGTATCTTAGCCACTGAGCCACCACGTCCCTAACTTATTTGTATACTGCTTTAATTATAATATTTTGTGTGGTTCCATTGTACTTCTATTTGGTTGTACTGTCACTATAACATCTTACCTTAATTTCTAGTAAAAGCAAGCATTAATACTTTTAAAATTTGTTAACTTTCAGACAGCTCAATCACTTTGAGCTCTTTGGTTTTTCTTCATATTTTGACTATTTTCTTATTTTCAAAACAGGAAACGCTACATCACCACAGGCTCAACGACCTTCATTTATGGACTATTTTGATAAACAGGATTCCAAAAATAAGGCCCATGAAAACTGCAACCAAAATATACACGAATCTTATCACATAGCGAAGAATATTTTCCCTGATAACTGGAAAGTTCCCCAGGATGGTGACTTTGATTTTGTAAGTTCTTATATACAGTTTGCTTTCCAAATGTTGATGGATTTTATGTGGATATTGCTGATGTACTATTTCTACATGATATAAGTATATACTTACATATATTTTTTTCTGGCTGGGAATTATGTGAACATGGTGTATATCTTCAGCGCATATTACATTATGCACTGTGTTAAACATAGAGCAATAGCATACGGATAGCATCCATATTCATAAGGAATATTTCTTTATGTAATCGGAGAGTAAAATCTTCAAATAGAAGCAGCCTGCTCATTCTCTTTGGTTTTCTATCTCTAAACTGATAATCTCATACATTTTGGACTAAGTGTAATACTTTATTCCCATATTCTCTAAAATACAGTTCCTCTGTATGTATGTTTAGAATCATTTCTTCCTACACTGGAGGAAAGCCTGTTTCAGTCCAAAGATTTTAAAACTTGGAATCAGGAAACAATTTTTGAATTACTATGAAACATTAGAAAGTCCTTGAAAATATTACATGTGCAGAAAACAGAAGAAAGAAATGTTTGGAGATCCCTTTCCCTCAGAACCTTCATTGTAATTATCTTACTTTATCCTCTACTTATTGTAGGACTTCTGGAGAAGTATTGAAGTTATACTGCAGAATAAATTGTCTTTTTTTTTTTAAAAAAAGTTTCCACTCCTAAAAGCTTTTCCCGAGTTAAAGAGCTTTATAATGTTAAAAGGCACAATTGGATACAGTCTATTGTTTAACATGCCACTCTAAACTGGAAAATAAAGTTGACAAATAATTAAAATTTACAGTACAATTTTTCAACTACCCATTATAGTATTATTTCTTCTCCTTATGGCCTAGCTCTGGGATGACAAACCTATGGCACAGTGGCACAGGTGGCACACGGAGCCATTTATCAGGGCACGCGAGGCGAGTTCAGTCTTTTTTAAAGCCATTTTCCGCCCTCTGCAGGCTCCAGAGGCTATATAGGAGCCTGGGGAGGGCAAAAACCGTCTCCTCCCCCCTCTGGGAGGATGAAAAACGACCCAACAGACAAACCGGAAGTCACTTCTGGTTTGCTCGTAGGGCTATTTTTAGTCCTCTGGAGGAAGCCTCCTGAAGGCCCTTGAAGCTCCAAAGTGCAAAAAACCAGCCCTATGGGCAAACCAGAATTTCAGGAACGATTTAAGCTCTCCAATTCCAATTTGTCCGTTGGGTCGTTTTTCATCCTCTGGAGCATTCAGGGAAGTCTCTGGAAGGCCCCTGAAGGCTCTAGAAGATTTAAACTGGCCCTACGAGCAAACTGGAAGTCCATTCCTGTAGGACCGTTCTTTTGTGCTCCGGAGGCTACAGGGAAGCTCTTGAAGCCTCCGGAGGGCCTCCGAAGCGGGGGGGAGGCTGTTTTTGCCCTCCCGAGGCTCCTATAAAGCCTATGGAGCCTGGAGATGGCGAAAAAAGCATGCAAAAAATGGGGGGGGGAGCGCCTGTCATGCATGCATGCATGCATGTGCGCTGGGGTGTGTGTTGCACATTGCATTATGGGTGTGGCACTCCCGCGCACAACCCCCCTGCATTCTCCCTGCTTATGGCATGCGAGCCAAAAAACTTTCGCCATCGATGGGCTAGCTGTTCCTTTCTTTCCATAACTGAAGAAATTATTGCATCTAACTTCTCATTAGGAAGTTAGGATATTTGTGAATATTCATTATTGTCAATGACTTTAGATTTTTAGAGAGAAATTAATAGACATATTTTTATAAGTATTTTCTGTGTATTCTCAATCTTGTATAAAAGTTCAGGCTACTCATAAGATTTCCACTTTACTGCATAAAGGGTAGCTGTTAATAAAGCTGTTACTTTATGTATAGCAACATTTATTCATGTTTATAAAATACTTGACAGGTTTTTTTATTAGTGAACATATTTTGAAAAATATCAATAACTTTTTTGCTTTTTTCCCTTCAAAAGTACATGAATTTAGATTAATTTTCCAAATTAAAATACCTTAGATAGTCTGTATGTTGTTAACAATTGTGAATAACTTAACATTTGCTGAGGAATAGAGAACAGTGGAGCAAATATTTTATACTTGTTTAAAAATATCTTTAAAAAAATTGCTGGCATACCTTTATGCAGTTCATAAAAAATAGAAGACTTCTGCCTTTTCTTTTTTGTCAATTTTGTCCCCCAAAGAGATGTGATTAATGTGTTTTTATCAGTAAATATAATCAAAAACATTTAATAGATATTTCAAAATGGAATAGCAATTTAAATTCTAAATTGGAAAAGTAGACTAATATTCAGGATCATTCTAAAGTGATTAATTTGTATCAGTCTCATAATAAAGAAAGGGAGAAGATTGTTTCTATTTGCCAGTAGTCACTTCATGTTCAGTAAAATCCAAGCAAAACAAAACAAAATCCATTAAAATTATGTTAGATATTAATCAACCCTTACATAAATTAAGTAACTGTAAACTACACTGAAAATCTTGCATGAACTTAATATGGTCAAAATATACATTAAAAATATCCTTCCTGCAGAGTATTGTGTTTCTCATCAGCAATCCCTTCTGATTATGATGATAGCAAACTTGAACAGTTTCTTTTTATTAAAAGCTATTTATTTTAACACTCAGCAAGTATAGCATTTTTTCCTGTTGAGATTTTCCAATAATGCAACCTCCCATGTTATATTGAACTATGTCAGAAATAAGTAATTGAATCTCAAGGACCTGAGTATAAGCCTTATTGTAATTTTGTACCTTCTAACCATGACATTAAATTAATCTTTCTAGTAAAAGTCATTTTGTATATATAATTATGTAGAACTTAAAAGCATCTTGACAGAATGGAAGGAACCTAAGAGAATTTTCAATAAAGTATAACCTGCTCTGAGATAGTAATATTTATTCTTTTCTTTTAGCACCATAGATTGACATGGAAAAGATAGAATATAGAATATAATAGAATAGAATTCTCTATTGGCCAAGTGTGATTGGACACACAAGGAATTTGTCTTTGGTGCCTATGCTCTCAGTGTACATAAAAAGAAAAGAATAAAAAAAACATCAAGAATCAAAAGATACAACACTTAATGATAGTCATAGGTTACTAAATAAGCAATCAAATCATACTAGGAAACAAATAAAACAATATTAATTATAGAGATACAAGGTTATAGTCATAAATGGGAGGAGATAGGTAATAGGAAGGATGAGAAGAATAATAGTAATACAGTCTTAGTAAATATTTTGACTTGGTGCCATCACTGCCTTATAGCATCGTTTTGAGGGTAGAAGTTGAAACAATTCATGTCCAGGATGTGAGGGGTCTGTAGATATTTTCACAGCCCTCTTTTTGACTCGTGCAGTAGAATATGAGATTCTGAAATGCGTTAGTGACCTTTAGAATCTTTACAAATATTTCTCAATCAGTTCTTAAACAATAATTTTAGTGTATATTGTCTATCTTTTAATTGTACAGAGACTAGAGAAAAAAAGTGGGGGAAACTCACTTAGCAATTGTCTCACTTAGCAACAGAAATTTTGAGCTCAGTTGTGGTCATAGGTCAAGGACTACCTATTTAATGTTTTTTTTCTTATACTAAAGCTGAAGCAATCATGTTCTGTAAAATCAGTTTAGCGTATATTGTTTTATTTCTTTGAATGTGGGTTTTTGAGTATTTTTTAAAGTCTAGTATGTATCCCATGGACAATTTATTATTTGTATTTCTATTATTGTTTTGACAATAGATCTTAGATAGTTATAAAAGAGGCATTAGCTAGAAAACGATGTAATAATGCAAGTTATTCATATTTGCATTATTATTTTAACAATGGATCTAAAACATAAATCAGGCATTAGTTAGAAATGAACTAGCTATTTAAAGCCTCATCAGCACTAATGTAATTAATTATCTTAACTGTATCTATGCAATGTGTTGTTTTTTTCTGGTTAGGATAAATAAAAAGTTAGACAAGGCAAATGTATTTTACATTAGTGCTTTTGGGAGAAAATGTTTTTTTTTTGCTAAAGTCCATATAGATATGGTCCCAGATTGTTTCATATTAAATAACGAACATGTAGATCATGTGTTGCCATTATACTAATGAAATAGATACATTTTGGTGGATCATTTTTTCTATTTTTGGTAGAAAGTAATCTATTAAAAGAGATAAAATTCTGGAGTGACTTCCAAGTGCAGCAAACATGTTAAAATACAATTACTGTAAAATGATGACGTTGTAAATAGGAAGTGCTTATCTGCATTAGCAAGATAAAGCTAGCTAGTGATTATATAATAGAGTAACAGATTAGGGATGTGTGAAATAACTACTGTTTTCCAGACCTAAAATAGTTAAAAGAATTGGTGAAAGATTCTCTTCTTTTCACAGCTTTATAAGATGTATGTTTATGTTATTGTAAGCCATAGTTAGTATTACATCTAAAATAGCTATAGAAGAAGCTGAGAAGTTGTAATTGGGATTTAAAGTGTCAGAGCCACTTCAATATTAAAGGAGGCTGCCTTTTCCCTCAACCGTTGTCCTCCTTATCTAGAGCAGTGTTTTTCAACCTTTTTTGTTTTTCAACACTTTTTTCATGAAAAAAATCCCGAGGCACACCACCATTAGAAAATGTTAAAAAAAATTAACTCTGTGCCTATATTGACTATATATAAAGTGTTTTTTCCACGGCACACCTTACACTATGTCACGGCACACTAGTGTGCCACGGCACAGTGGTTGAAAAACACTGATCTAGAGGGTATTAGGAATGATGAGGAAAAAGAAGAAAAATGGTGAGGAAGAATTGCCTAAGCTTGCTGGTTCATGAGTTTATACAATCAAATACAGAGTGTGCTTTCTTGTGCTAGATCTTTCCAGGATTATTTTAAGATGTCAGACTACGACTTAAAAAAAACATATTGTCTTCATTATAATTAGCCCATAAAACAAGCTACAATGCATTTTGTAACTATTTGGCAGCTTTGAGGGTCAGTAAGGTTATAGAAACTGGTTGCCAGC